CGCTAGCCAACGGTAGGTCAGCGCCGGATCTCGCCATACAGCGATGGAAAGATCACCGCCCCCTCTCGAGCAATCACATGCACTACACCTACGGCACTAACGACCCTGGTGTTGATGTGACCGGAATCATTAAAACAACCAATCAAACCTTGATCTTTCACGTGCCAGAGACGCCCCTGTTTATTTGGTTCGAACGTCCTGCGTCTTATTTACTAGTCTGTCCGGGTGACGCCGCGTCCATGACGAAGGTGCCGACGTTTCGGTCGCCATTCTGCGACCTTTCTCAGGGCGTAATGCCCTGAGGAAGCATTACGCCCTGAGGAAGGTCGCAGAATGGCGACCATGGACGCGGCGTCACCCGGACAGCCTAGTAAATACTGACGCCGCCCGCGGAAGCCTACGGTCCCGTCCTGCGTCTCCCTCGCCGCTGTGCGTGGGAGCGCCAGCGTCGCCGCGGAGGGAGCTGCGCGGCTGCACCGCGCAGAGCGGGGACCGCGCGCAGGCAGGCGGGCGGCGGGCGGGGAACCCGTCGCCTGTACGCAGGTCAAGGTCGCGCAGTCCCCCCACCCCGCCCCTCGCAGGCCCCTCGCGCGCGCAGCGGGGACCGCGCAGCAGCGACAGCAGCGCTGCGCAGCGCCGACGCCGCCGCCGACCGCGCAAATGAATGGAAGTGGAAGCGGCGCCGCTGCCAGAGGGGGCGTAGTGCTTAAGCAGACTAAGCACGTGCTTAGAGCCCCCTGCTGGATAGGCGCCAGTGATTAATTCCACGTTATCGCAGTTCCACGTACATAGTAAAGAGACAGTCATTGTAATCCGGCGGCGGAAATCGGAAACTACGAAACTCTTTGGCAGAAACTCTTGTGGTCAGGTCCTGGTAATAAAAAAAAGAGGATAAAACTTGTTACTGAATGTAGTAAATTACTTCTTTTAACACGTAGTGTAGTCAGAATCCACGTTTCGTAGGTGCTTGACACCGAAAAATCATTTGATGGCAAAACGTCTGTCTGGCCGGCCGCCTGTCGATCCGTCTGATGACTGACGATCGGTCGCTCTTCGATCGATCAGACGGTCCGTCCGTGGTCACTGCTAGCTACCAAAACCATTCCGACGATTTACTCCAAAAATTGATATTCACCGAACGATCTAAATGAACCTGAGGTCATGCAAGTTTGAAATGATTTTTTTGATTTTGAGGAGTACTGTACATAAAGCCTCTACAACATTTACAAAAACCTCCCAAAAACGGCTCCAATTATTTTATTAAACTTTGCCCGCGGATAGCGAAAAGATCGCTAAAAAGATTGGGATATCTCATTTTCGCTAAAATTTCGAATATTGCAAAAGTCTAAATTAAGTCAGCATCAACCTACAACTACAATATTAAGCAAAGAGGTTTTTTCTACAATGTTATCTTGTCTTCAAAGACCGATGTTGAAATATGATCACAAACAATTATTTCCAAAACGTATGAACGCATAGACCCACACAAACTTACTGCACTGCGCATGTCGAGAACGTTAATCGGGGAGAACTGCTGCTAAGCTACTACCGTTAATAATATGAATGACACTATTAATTATAAATTACTTGCGCAGTTCATCTCTGCGTGTCACATGTTGAATTCGTAGTGACATAAACCATTGGCGATTTTTATCAATTTCTTTGTTATCTTCTTCATCTTCCTGTTCTAGATTTCATAGTTCCAGGTACTTCCTACTATATGGGCATCGCCTCAGCCGGGACAAGCGATCTCCGGTGTGGTGCATATAAATGTGTGTGTAAATAAAGGGTGGAATTGGACAAATAATGCGAAGGAAAGATCGCACGCGTTCCGTGGCCCGTTTGTCAGGGTACTGCTCCGGCATTCGACTCTTTTTTATCAGATAAACCACGGAAAGCTAATTATCAACGCTGGAATTCTCCTCCACACAGCGACAGAATTCGACCTGAAACCATTGGTTGTGACATGCCTGCCGGAACCGGAACTCCTAACGTCGAGGCCCAATGGGCGCTGGGCCAAGCGCAACCCTGTGCTCCCTACGCCCCTGCTGGCCGCCCGCCACGCGAAATAGACCACGCGGTCAATGCCACTACGCTTACTATCAGGTTGGGTTGCGACCACGATGTCGATGGTTTCTTAACGTCGATATGTTTACGCAAATTGAGCTTCGATTTGTCGAAGCCGATGATTTTTTAACATCCACTAGCTGAGTTTAGCTCACTGCCGTTGACTCTGCGATACTCTTACCGCGAGGCCCTAGTGTTTGAGTTCACACGGTAGCCACGGATTTTCGTCACTAGCTAGATAACTAGGTTGAATTGAGCTGCTGTCCGGATAGGAACTGTAGTCTACAGATATTCAGATCATTAGTTGTCAGTGGTTTCTCCTATAAGTATCAGGAGAATGTCAGATTACTCACCCCTCCCTTGTCTCATAAACGGGCCAAGGACCGCGCGCGATCTTTCCTTCCTCCTCCTTGTCCTATCCCTTACCCTCAGAAACGTATACTTACAAACTCTACTTTATTTAAATACAAAACCATACATTAAATATGGGTTCCCATGAAAACTCGTTTGTTTTATGGCCCATAATATCCCACCAAATCATCTTTACTCAGATTTGTTCAAAATGGTTTTATGAACTCGGAATTTAGGCAGGGACAGATGATGTATCTCATCTAAAGGGACCATCCAAAAATGCGTCCACAATATAAGAATTTCTTCTAGTCTTTGCTTCATGTTCTGATAATTAGAACCGTGTTACAGTACAAATTAAATTAGGTGGTTGTGTCCCTCGACACGTGCAAACTCCAGCGTCTTATCCCAAACAACAGTGAAACAGCATCTTTGGCATTTCTACAGTGTTGCCATTTCAAATTATAAAACAAAGGAAGCGTTTCAGATGAGGGTCTTTACAAGTGTCGAGTGCGAGATTAATGAAAATAAAATACAGTTCTTGAGCGGTAATTGTGAGTGCATGCTGTTAGATTTGTTGTTGATCGCGTATCGTTTTGTGGTATCAAAATCGCAACGAGATATAACGCCAAAAAAATCGTCTTCCTCTACATCCAACACACAACTGCCAACCACATTATTTTATTCGGTCCTTAACAGTTACAATAGAAGGGGTTAGGTTGCCAATGACAGATCTCAAAGATTTTTTTCCCTCTATCGTCGTTTAGGAAAAGAGTTACTGTTTAGTCGTTTAGGGCTTTTATTATCAGAACCTTTCTTAACTCTGAAATCAGATTTACAAGTTTCCTTTCGACGAACGATTCTGGAATGTCAGCGAACACCGTATGCATAGTTTCATTTCTGAGTTCCACAAGCAACACGGCACATGCACACATTCGCTAGAACTCCGAAATCGTTCGAGCGTGTAAACCGGGTCTTCCGGAGAGTTTCGTCTTTCTCCGCTTACCAAAAGTGTTAACAAACAAAGACGTCCCGCCGCATTGTGGGAATCTCCGCGTTCGCAATTCTTCCTGGAAATATCTCGGCGACCGACATTCGCGCTGCTCTGCTGCAGGAGGGATCTCTGGTCGATGGCGGCTGGCGCCACTTCACAAAGGAAAGAGGATACTCTCGATTGGTTGGAGAGGGCGCGTCGGGAAAGCTGTCACTGTTAAGGCGGGGTCCGGTTCCATTGAATGAGTGCCAAACGGGCCTTCGGTTCCGGAATCGCATCTTTGTTTTGCATCATAATGTCTTTGGATCGTGGTTTTTATCACGATGTCAATGAAGTTTCTTACTCCGTGTTAAATGTCGTCGATGTCTAGATAGTTAAAAGCAATAAATTTCTATTTATCTTCCTCTTTCGATTTTGGTCAATTATAGGCCACTTCAAATAACTTTATTTTTATTTATTTCTCAGTACTTTGGTATTCAGTGACTCGTTAGTTAGCGTTCTCGCTTTCCACGGCGCAACACCGGGTGTGATTCTCGGTAGGGGCAAAAATTAATTGTGCGCTTTCCTTGCAATGTCCCAGAAACTGTTGCTGTGTTGCGATGAGAAAATTCACTTCTCAGGTTGACAATATCAGAATGCAGCGGAGTGATGGCTATGCATTAACCGCATGTATTCCTTAACCGATGTCCGCAAGGTCGGGACGCTACTGGTAGGCCTTAGCTCGTAAAGATCTGTTGTGCCAAAGTACATACATACATACTTCGATATATCCTCGTCTAATACTTTATTTCTTCCTCCCCTTGCAGTATTATTTCCTCATTTTACTTTTGTTCCCTTCGCCGATAGCTCCATAAAGCTTCTCTCTTCTGGTTTCCCTGGAAACTACAAATATACTAACGTACTTCAGTTTTGACCATTTGAATTGCGTGTTGAATCCGAGGTACATTAAAAAGTATTCAAAACATTTTACGAAGGTACTTTGTAAGAAGAGAAAGTTATGTAATCGTGGGCCGAAAAACGGCGAGTTTTGAAAACTGAAAATTCTATAATGCTTTGTTTCAATAATTAGGGAATATAACAACGTGAATTTCGAAGGCAGTTGCGGCAATTTCAGCGACTGTGGGCATGATGTTATGGTGTTGCATCTCCTCATCTAAATCATCGTACTTTGATGGTTAACTACGTTCCCCGATGGCAGGTTTGGGTTCTCACCCTTCACTCAGGAGAAACTAAGCCCCGACTCCTCAGTAGCATTCACCTGTAATGTTGTTTTCATAGGCGCATCCAAAGTTTTTCTCTGTGTTTGTGTGTGTGGAAGGTGAGCACAGGTAAAGTATCCAGCCGACTTGATTTGTCTATAAAGAATGTTTCGTTTACGCCGAATATAAAATGTATTTTTATATGTTACCTTGTGGTTAATATTTATAACATACACATTTCATATTTTGAATAACCTTTCTTATTTAGGAAATTAGTAGAAGCTGTCCTCTTTTAATGTGTAATTGGCTTCAACGGGTGGGGGGGCATGAGACCTCCCTTGCTTACGCCACTAGCTGTTGCACTCACTAATATATTTTTTTTCTGTCACCAGGACAAGGATGAGCAGACTCAACTCGAAATGAAGCACCGGAAAGAGGAAGACGACCTGTACAGGAAGTTCGCTCGCCAACGCGATGAAGAGGAGAAGCGCATGCGGGACGAGTTTCGGGTGAGTAACGTTAGACGATCGAACGAAAGAAATTCTTTAGAATTGTCAAAATTTAAAGACAAAAAAGGACATGTAAGAAGGCTCTTGATTTTTCTTGCATTTTTATCGTGATAAGTCAATTATTTTAATTAATTCCCTACTTAAATCAACCATTTTTACGCAAATATGTTCCATATTAATTATTAATACAAATTTGACAAAGCAACATATTTTCAGAACACTTTGACCTGAAACGTTCACACTTGATTCCCGAATTTCTCCCCTTAACTTAGTAATGTATTAATAGTATATTGAATATAATGAATGAATAACTATGAAAATAATATTCTACATCTATTTTAAATTGATAATTAATTGATGGTGTAATATTGTATTATAAATATATATTTATTTCACGTTATTATTCACAACAACAGAATGAACTTGATACAGAATACCACAAAACATCACTCTTTGGCACTTTCTAAATTACCAAAAAACAACGAAGGAATTCTCAACAAAGTCTAAGAATAAATGTTCAAATTTCTAGGGTGTGTAGAGGGTAAAAAATGCTAGTGTTTTGCCAATGAACAAGTGATGGAAATTCTCATATAACGTAGATTTACGTATGGCATTTGCCCCTGATTGGTAGGCAACTCATCTTGCACTTTTGCGGTGCACAATGATGCACCAACCAATCAGGGGCGCATAGCACTAGCGTAGCTTCATTATTGAATGATTGATTAGTGCTTCCGGACGCGACAACGGCTAAGCTAATTAGTCCCGTAAGTGTAGTGATTGTAATCAGAGCCACTGCGGTGAAAGTTGAAAATCCTGTGACCGTCGGGAACCGAGTCCTGGGACCTCCCGGTCAGAGGCACTGCAGTGACATCAGATGATTCCCTGTCAGAGGCACAGCAAACCGACGTATAGGTCGGCGCCGGATATCACCATCTAGCTGGAGAAGATCACCGCCACCTCCGGTGATAAAACATGCACTACACGAACGGGTCTAATATCCTTATCAGTTGACACGCCCGGAAGCACTAATCAGTCATTCAATTAATTATTCAATAAATAATTCAACCAATCATGTAATCAATCGTTCAATCCCTCATTCTGTCGAAGCGCGCTAACGAGAGTGTGTGTGCGCAGGACGAGTGGGAGAAGGAGCTGGAGCGCCTGACGACGCGCTTCGAGCGGGAGATGTCGACGCGGCGCGGGCGGCGGCCCGACGAGCAGCGCGTGCTCACGCTGCGCCACCAGCAGGAGCGCGAGACGCTCGAGCGCAGCATGACGCTGCGCCGCGACAAGAAGAAGGAGTCGCTCACGCGCAAGCTGCTCGAGCACGAGAGGTACGTCGTCGCTTGCGAACGCCTCGCCCTTTCTTGCTTACTCTGTGAAATAGGTTTAGATCGTCCAAAATCGCGTCTCGAGAGGTACCTGCGTCCGCTGTTTCCTCCATTTCCTACTGCTTTCTTTATGAAATTGAGGAACAAGCTGTGGTAGTCGAAAATTACATCTTGAGATACTGCTCGAGCCCGAGAGGCATGTCGCCTCTTTCCCCCTCTCGCTACTGAACTACACTGTCTTTTTCCTACTCTGTGAGATAGAGTAATAGGTAGTGATGTGTACAAAATTTCATCTCGAGAGACAGTTCGAGCACGAGAGTTACATAGTTTCTTGCTTCCTCTCCCCACTCCTTACACTAAGATATAGAAATTCTTCCCCCTTTTGCATGTTGCCAACTCTCTGAAATAGAGAAAAGGATCGGCGATGTGATGTTGAAAAAGAGAAATGAGTTGTAACAGTCGAAAAGACCATATCGAGAGATTTTAGGAGCACAAGAGGAACCTAATATCTTAAATTGAAAAAAAATAGTCATTGTAATGTTGAAATAGGGATTATAACCGTTGAAAATTCTGTCTCCAGTAATTGCTTGAGCTCGAAATATTCTCTGACCTATTCCTATTCACCCCGCTGCTTACTATCTAAAATAGAGAGAGATATCCTTGTTGTTGTTGTGAAGTTTAAAAAGATAAAGTAGTTGTGATCGTCGAAAATTTCTCAAGATTCTGCTCGAGTACGATTTTTCATGTCAGATTTTTTTCATTTCCATCTTCTTCTTCTTAATAAAACCCAAATTAAATCGAGCATCCATTTCCAGGTATAGCTCAAGCACGAGAGGTTATAGTGTCGACTCCCTTCTTCCTTTTTCATGTAGAGTAATTGTTGTGAACGTGTGAATATTTCATCCACAGAATGTGCTCGAGCGAGATAGCAACTTCTCCCTCCCCTTCTCATCATCTTTTTTTCCTATTCTCAAATTATAAAATACGAAAATTAAAAATCTCTCTCCCTACCTCCTCTCCGACTTAACTCGCTTCCTCTCTCCCTTTTCTCTCTCCCCCTCTCTCTCCTACACAGAAATACGCGAATTTCTTAATCCATTACTTTTTCTTTCTTCGTTCCTTGTATTTTTGTTTCACGAAGTCGTAGTGATGCTAGATGACAATAGCACGGTACTTAACGAAAAATTTGAAGTATCATTTGGTTTTATCAGTTCACAGAGTAGTTCGATATGTGTGAGCGGATGCGAGAACAGTTATTTATTTTATTAAGTTTAACTTACAAGAGATGGGTGAAGGAGATTGTTACGTTTATTGTGATGGTAATTAAGCTATTGTGTTATGAGTTGTTCTAAGTTACGTTGAAGCAATCCGCTTAACATTGAGGTAAATTTAATTTAATCCTCGTATTAACATTTTACGGTGTTAAATTAGACTGATCATATTTTCTATTCATTCATAAGATCACAAAACGCTGTGGTGATCGTATCATCTTTCGCAACTTTCCTACCTTTAATCGTTTCACACATAGATGTTACTTTAACTCGTAAAGAGTTGGTAAGCAAGTGTCTTATTGTTTCTTGAAGGAAACGCCAAATGGTCACGTTCCGTTACGTCATTCTCCAAGGTGGCTAAACAGACAACGACATGTCAGGGAAAACAAGAAAGGAATCAGAAGGTCGGTGACCACATTGGCAATAACGGTAGCTTTCAATAGAAAAAGACTTAAAGGTGCACAAAGGGGTGGAGTGATATATGCGTATCTTACACGAAGTACAATATATTTGGTTTGGTTATATAAGTTACGATCAGACGCGCCCAGAGAAAAGACGGTCCTGGGAAAGCAGATTCACGGGGTGTCTTATTTCAAACTAAAAACCCCGTCTCCCGAGAACATAAACAGAAATCATATGTCCATGCAGCAGAAACCACATGCTGCGCATTATTTCTAAAGCATTTTTATACCAAAATATGTCTTGAGAACACACAAGACACCTCACATCCCGGCAATCGCCTTGCTTTTGCCATTGTCTTATGGCAAATATCTACGCATACATTAGTCCGATGAAATCCAAAATGATCCGTTCGTTGTCATTCATTCACCTTTTTTCATTCGATTTATCTCTTCACTTACTACGCCTTAACATTAATGGTGTTTCGAGCTTTTAACGTAAAATTAAGCAACATTCACAATCTGAATCATAACGAAAATGGATTACGATCACGATTTAGATGAAGATGCCATGATGAATGAATGAATATGACCAGAGTCTGTCATTCCAAATTATTTCTTCTCTTGTGTATAGGGAAAGGGGTAAGGTCGTAATTTCGTTTTATGAGCATTTTGTAGTTAATGAACCAGAAGGATATGTATGTGACAATGGTCGTTTCTCATTTAACAGTCACGCCTTCCTCAACCTCCGTTACCTTTCCCCATCCATAGCAGCAAAAAATTACACAGTCACTCTCAGTGCCCTTCACTTTTTTGCGAACCTTCTGTGCAATCCAAGATCTCCGCAACGTTACTCGAAGAGGCAGTAATCGCTCTCGACGAATAGCCTACTAAAGTAGACCTTTCGCGTTTGATGAAAAAATCTGCATTTAATCTTAAGAAGCATGGGACCTTCCAAAAAGCAATTGCTCAAAAAATGAAACCTGTAATGTTACCGGAAGATCAGTACTTGCAAAAACGCTCCGGATATGAAGAAACCATCTACATTCCATGTTCACAGCAATTCAAAAATATAATATGCGGTTATCATTTACCTCGTCAAATATAAAAATAAATAAAATTTAAGTTGCATTAAATACCATAGGAAAAGGTGTATTAAAATAATAGATTTAAAGGGTCCAGTAGAAAAAATAAAATAAAAAGACGTGAAAAGTGCAGAACGCAATGAACTTATTTCAAAAATAAGCACAAAAAAATCGATTCTTCGAATAGCGAATCTCTGTTCATGTTTCGAAGCGATCCGCAAGATTGGAATGCTCCCAATCTCTAATTGAGACACTGAACACTTTACCAGAATAGCTCTCGACCCCCCCCCCCCCGGCGTCAGACACACACGGAAAGGCGAAGACCGCCCCTGTATGTTGCCTCTGTCTCACCTTTCTCCGCGCCTTGCGGTAGGTCGGGTAAGAATGTCAGGTGAACAGACTCGAATCGCGAGTCAGTGCCTTCAACGGCACCCAGCCGCGATTTCACTCCTCTAACTGTACAGGCGGCGTCCGGTCCGCCGGCGCCGGGCGACCCGCGGTGCGCCTTACGGGAATCCACCACTGCTAGGGGTCAAGAGAGTACGAGGCGCGCGCGACTGGACGCAGCGGCGTCGCCTCCGGGGGGCACGCAGTGGCCGCAGAGGAGCCCAAAGGCACGCGCAGGGAGAAAAATAAAATTCGTGCGAAACGATTCACTGATAGATTGATTATTTGGTTAGCTAGGAGCCGCTACCACTATGGCCATTAGTCACGTAAGAGTAGTGCTTTTTATAGGGGTGGGGAAGTGCCTTCCACATTGAAACGGGAGATCCAGTTCTGACCTAAACGTCAGCCTGCAGGTTTTCCCACTTCAATGTATCTCTCCCAATGGAGAATCACCCCAGCCGGCACAAGCCCTAAGCTCCCTACTGGTTTCCCGAGGTGCGTGGTAGAGTAGCACGTGTGTGTATATGTGTGTGTATGTGTGTGTGAGTGTGTAGAATGAAGTGTGAATGTAAGAGAGAGGGTAGAGTAGGGGGCATGGATGAGAAAGATCGCACACAGTTCATGGCTCATTTATTAAATTACCGCTCCAATAGTCGCCTGGTTTTGATCGGAGAAAAGACGAAAAACTAGCAGCCGGTTTCTCTGATCAATATCAGGCGAATACACGAACGGAACCAGAAGGGGTGACAGACTGCGCGCTATCTTTCTTAACTCGCTCCTCCTCTGCCACTACATTCACACTCATACCCTTAGAAGCAATACAAATGCAAACATGTCAGGAGCTTAGAGCTTGTCCCGGCTGAATCAGAGTCCCGATGAGGGAGGAGCCTGGGAAGGAAAACCTCCCCATTCCGAAGTGTAGACCTGCAAAGGTGGCTCAGGGCATCAACTGATGTCACTACATGTGCCTCCGCCCGGGAGGTTCTAGGTTTCGAATGCCGACGATGGCAGAATTTTCAACACTAGCATTTCATCTAGGTTAAATTTAGCCGCTGTCTGGAAAAGAATTGTAGCTGCCGGCTGTTCTGATCGGCAGTTTTCCGTGGTTTTTACGATCCACACCAGGCGAATGCCGGAGCAGTTCTCTAACAAATGGACCACGGACCGCGCGCGATCCTTCCTACCTCTTCCTTTCCCTATCCTCTACCCGTACGTATAAACGCTTACACTCCTATGCACCCACTCGTAGGGATAACAGTCGGGAGTTTAGAGCCAGACTCGTCTGAGGTGGTGACCCGCTGGTGAGAGATAACTGGTTGGGGGAAAATCCCCGCAAGCTGACGTAGGTTGGCGCCAGATCTCGCTATGCAGCGGGGAAAGATGACCGCCACGTTCCGTGTTAAAACATACACTACACTTAGGGGAGTAATAACCTCATCCTTTGACACGCACATTCACGAATTAATCAACCGAAGAGTAGGTCGGCACTGGATCTCACGTTCTAGTGGGGGCAGGACCACCACTACCTCCCGGCATGCACTACTCCCACGAGACTAGTGACCAAAGTAGTCCTCGCGCCCGAAAGCACAAAATATTTAATAGATTCCTGACGTTTAGAAGGTTACATGTAAAATCATTAAGTATAATAAATGTAATAAGTTAATAAAGAAACAATAAGTTATATGTATTCATTGGAAATTCGAAATTGCCACTGAAAACATGACATTGTTATTAATATTTTTTTTCCTTTCAAATATCTCGATTAACGATGTGGTATATAGAATTCCCTTCGGAATCTTTGGGGAACCAATGTTCTTGCTTGGCTTGCAAACTCGGGCGATCAGGTTTCGACGTGAAGCTAT